TATCTTACTTAGTTTCATCATCATGTAATCACTTTCCGTCAATACAATTTGTGTTATATTCTGTTAAAATATTTTACTCAAACATAGCCTACACACCAAAAATAAATTTTTTGTATTATCTTTTCAATGTACAATAATATTTTATTACTTTTTATAAAGTGCAATTAATCTGTTTTGTTTCCTACATTATAAATTCGTAATAATTTTTATGTAAAAAAATTGTTTTAATAAAAAATTAGACTATACTGGAAAAATAAAATAGTAGAAAAAACTTTTAAATTAAATCATAAAATAAATAAATTAAAATAAAAAAAAAACAGCATTTTACTGTAAAAAATTAGTGACCAGGCCTTATCTTTAATTCCAGAAATCTTAGAATTTAGCTGCCAAAGTTACACACACCTTGTAATTTACGTTTACACAGAGATTATTACGTAATCTGTTGGATTCCTCAAAAGGAAAAAGAGCGCGCACACGTTTGCCATACAATGCAGATGTCAATCTGGAAAGAAGCATTTCGAGAATAAAACTTTCTACAATAGCGCGCCGCATTCGGAGAACAAGCTGCTTAAATATTCAAAATCCAGCTCACGTTTTATAATAACATCTTTCTGCTTAATATGTAAACAATCGTCGTGAAAGATAATTTTCCAGCGGCCATACACGAAGTTATTAATAAGCCAGATTGACTTCTGTGAATGCGTTTAAAGCCGTGTCAGTGCTGTCTCCGATCAAAAGTAAAAGTTGCAGAAGAACAAGAGAAGATGGCCATCTCTTTCTCTGTTATACGTATGTGTAGTTGAACAGGCAAACAACTTAAAAAAATCGACCTCTACGTGCCACTGTCTAAAAGCCAAGCACGCAGTTGGAATAAATCGCCTCGTAAAAGCGGCTCATTTTTTTTGCTGCTCCTTTCCCTTTTTGATAATCAGTCATTCAGACCGAAAAAGCACCGGCGAGAGTAAAACGGCCGCAGGGGGTTCATCTTTCGCGTCCAGCAGCTTAGCAGCATCTGCAAAAGAAAGAAAGAAAGTTATTTAGTTGCGCGGGGCGTGGACAGGTGTTGACCTTCATTTACTATGCTAACGCACACCTGTATACCCCTGCAGTGTCTCGTAGAACGAAAACGAAATTTAATTATCAACTTTTTCTTTCATTCCAGCGGCTGAGGCCAGCGAACTCTGAATTTCTCTGCTGCTCCTTCATTTGCAGTTCAGAGAAATCCGCAGGGCTAATTTTTTTATATCATTAAAAAACCGATTAATTCCTCTCCGACTAATTATCGCCCTCGGTGATTACTGTCTGGGTTTACCGACTTTGCCTGAAAGAAAGCTGAAATAATGAGGAAATTTGATAACCCAACAAAATTTTAGGATAGTCTTACAGTGAATGAAAGGTTTTAAATTTAATTAAAACTAGGGAAAATCTGCATAAAAAAGATAAACAATTATCTTTCTCCTCTTTTCTTATATTATCATATTTTGCTCGGTTTTGACTAAAAAAATTGCTGTTTTTTTTTTCAAATTTTATTTTACATAAATTGAAAAAGAGAGATTTATTAAGTTCGATTAAAATTGATGTTTTGTAATTAGGATCCAGAACATTAAATAGTTTGGTTAAAATTGAGATGGCTGAAACTTTAAAAATGATTAAAAATAACCATATGAAATTCAGTTAAAATTAGGTTGAAGCAAACCCATATTGTTCAAAAACGTTTCCAACCTGAGCCGTTTACTTTATTCAGCAAAAAATGAAATTTTCACTATGAAAATTAAAAATTTATAAATAATTTAATAATTAAATGTTTATTCTTTTGGCAGAACAATTATTGACAAACCGCAGTCTTTTTTAAGAAACAATATGTCAATTTAAAAGTCAAGCCGCAAAATCATTAGTGCCTCTCACGCAATCCCTTGAGATTGTTTTATTTTTGTCACAAACTGGTGAGATAATTTTCCTCTTTTCCGCACACCGCAGATCGTAATCGGCGCTTCTCCCTTCATATTGCCGTGGGAATGAAGGGCACCTTGATTTTGTAAATCTGTGGTGCTCGCCGCGCGAGTTTTAATTGTTGCGTGAGAGCAATCTCAGCAGAGCGCAGATGCTCACCGCCGCGCGTCTTTTACACACACAAATTCCTCTCTCGTTGTTTGCTTTTGATAATGAGTTCTGGACGCAAGGCGCGGATATAAATAAGAAGGAAAAGCACACACGAGATTTAATGGATTCCACGGCTTCTTTTCATTGTTCTCTTCTTTTGTGCAAAGGGTTTCAAAGCGAAGCTTGTTGTTTTCAGGGCAAATTGAGAAATACAACTGCTGATGTGCATCTCCCGTCATCTATTCTTGTTTAAAACGGAAACTGAATAACGCAAAATTTTAGATTATGATCAATAAGTTAGTGAGTAAAAACAAATATGACATTAAAATCAATTATTTAAGTGTTCCTTTTTATTAAATTAGAATTTCCAACTTTAAAACTGATATTAGAGATGATAATATAATTTTATTTTAAGATTTTTAATTATGCATACTTGAAAAACAATTCTTTTTAATTTTAAAAATAAGTAATTAATAGGTAAGTAAATAATATTTTGTACTATTAGCTATAAATAATTATTTTTATATATTTAACTGTTTTTCCAACAAATGTATTTTAAAAATTAGATATATGTAAATTAAAAATGTATCTTTGGCTTCTGTAACAGGAAATATGATATTTGAAAATGAATTACATAATTACTTACTTTTCTTTGAAAGATCAGTTTATGAAATTTAATAATCTTACTAATTCAAGGATTTAGATTAAATTTGTTTTAATTAAATAATAGTCATGAACATGCCTTAATACACTAATTAGTGCGTTGTTCAAATTAGAGATAATGACAGTTCAAATTATTTATTATTATTTCATTAATTTAGTTTCAAATTAAATCAAAGCAAATTATAAGTTTGCGTTCATTGCTCTTAATTTAATATTACAATTTTATTTTATAATCCTGCAAATGGTTTCCTTTGTTTCTTTGTAATTTATTCCACTAAGCCACTTTCCGTATGGCACCTTTCAACACTTCTGCATGATTTGGGGGGCGAAAACCACTGATTCAGAGCAAAAACAAAGGGCATTTTCGTGTTGAGAGGAAGTCTTTCTCAATTCAAAATTCCAGCTCACCGCGTTTTGTTTATGAGATACGTTTGAAGAAGAAACAAAACATCTCTTGAATTCTCTCTAGAAAAAAAAACAACATTCAAATTTCGCACACCCATTGAGATTGCGCTGCGAGATAGCATTTAATTTGCATTCACCTGACACCGACGGTGCCCCCTGTTAGGAGTGGTGCCCATATTCAAATTTTCGTTGCCCGCCGGCGAACTTGGCGTGTAAACGCGAGAGCGGAGATGAACCTCACGCTGGGCTGAAAGAATGGGCTCGGTATGCACCAAGGTTAAGTCAGTCACTAACTCACTCATTGTTGCAACACTAAATGTCCGCTAAATGTGAGAAAAATGAGTCCGTGCTGGATTTTAATTTCGGCGACGACCTTTTGTGTTCTCTCTCGGCCGGACTGCAATTCCAATTTTACAAAGCCCGCCGGGGTAAACGATTTGAAGCAAAAATTTATATCTATATCCAGCAGGACACCCTATCCGGGACCTCAACCTTCTAAACACGCATTAAATTTCACGAGCGCTCTGTTTATTTGTCTACTAAAAACATATAAGACCTTGGAAAAATCGTGCAGGAAATTTGAATTCCTGCATTCACTTCGTTTGACCAGCTCGGCATTAGTCTTTTCTGGTGTTAAAATGTAGAAACTTAATTTCCAAACGTTATTCAAGTGTAACAATAACAATGTTATTGAGGGAAGAAGGTTATAAATTATAAGCTTGAATTAAAATTTAGAAACACGTATTAAAAATCAATTATTATACAAAAGATTCTCCAATGTGATGATTCATATTTTTTTCTAAATAAATATTTAAACAGATTCCCCATCCATCCTCAATTGATAAAATTAATGATTTTAGTCCACTATTACAAGAAATTGAAAAATTTGAAAAAAAAAATTAAAATATTAAATATTTAAATAAAAGAATTATTTCATTCTTTAATTTTTCATTGTTACCAACATAGAGCTTTTTTATGCTTATAAAATTTTTCCATTTACTTATTTTAAGTACAGCATGCACAATCTAATAAATCAATTGGTTTTTGCTCAAATTTAATCAAAACCATCTTGAAAACTTTACGATTGTTAATTATTTAATTTTCGCCACGGTTTCGTGCTTATAGTCCACCTCCCGAGGCAATAATGTGGCATTAAATTGCACTCGCACAAACAATTTCAATAATATACACAATTCAATTCACATGTGAATGTTCTCCCTCACTCACCAGACGCAGCCTTGAACGCGGAAAATTGACAAAGAATATAATTCTGTGTTCTTTCGCACGCAGCGCCGCGATGACAATTTACTTTTTAATTTTCTTTCACTCTCGCCGTCGCGTCTTGATTAGCGGCTGCGAGCAGAGGGTTCAACAAACCTATGGGCTAATGTCTTGGTCCGATTGTTGAGAGCGGAGAATCATTTGATCGCGCCACCCATCATCAGAGCCGCAGAGGAAATCAGTGAATGCGAAATGATTAATTGCCGCAGCGCCGCCGAGAGCGCATCAAACTTTGTGTGTAACCCCGCGAGTGTTTGTCTCGTCTCCATTTAAGCATTGTGTGTGAACGGGTTTCACTTGATTGCCTGCACTGCTGATCGCCCTTTGGTGAAATGACGACGAGCGAAAGAATTAAATTCTGACGCCCGATGGGAGCGGTGAAATTTGATTGCACTCTAATCAAGTTACTTTCGATTTTAAAATAATAAATTGCAATAATAAAAAATTCGCAGTTATTTTTTAGATAATAAATAAAATAATTAAGTGGATTATAATCAGATTGATCATTGATCTCATATCATGGTTTTTATTTATTTTTTCTCTAAACCTTTTCACTGAAAAGGTCTGTAATTCATTCTAAGATATTCTTGAACTATGACAGCAGTTTCGGTATCACAATCTACCTCGCGATAAGCGTATTCCGATGTGGATTTGTTGGTGGTGTTGAATTTGAACTGCAAGACCACGCAGGCGTTCTTGCCAGTCAGGTCGGTGGTTGCTGGGGCCCACGGAAGTAAATCGCTGTCGAAAGGTTTCGAGAATTTTTGTGAGCAAAAGGTAAGGTCGTACGTCATTTTAGGTGCATTTCTGCATGCAGGTTTGTAAGCTGAAATCCACACGCGCTTTGATATTAATTGTTTGGCTGCAAATTTTCATGTGTTTCGTGAGATTTTGTTTTGGAACAAAAGTATCAATTAGACTTGTCAGTCCTTGCTCTAGGACACACTTGATCTCCTCGACGTCTTTCGGCTCCCACATGCGTAAATCACCTTTATTAAGGACAAGGGCTGGGTAGAAGAAAAAGTCTGATTCATCCTAGGTTATTAAAAGAATATTTGAAGGAAGTTAAATAATACATAAAGATATTTTTTTTTTAAATAATACATTATCTCCTACTCCAATTATCATCCGTTTCCCACATATTGACACGAGAGTCGGAATAACTGTCGTGAGAAAAAAAATAAAAAAAAAATTAAAAAGGAATCCTTAATTCATTTGAAAATAAAATGAATAATTTCATAATTGAAAAAGACACCTCAAAAGAGTTGCCATCATTTGAGTTGTGAATTAATAGTTTTATTTATAATTGATTTATTATTTAAGTACTTACTGCTTGCGCAAACTGCTCTTACATACCTAAGCTATGAACATTTAAAATATTATAATTTGTTGTGTGATAATATTGGATTATATTTCATACCGTGGAAATGAAGAGATCGGGCTTTTCCTCGTTGCAGAAAAATTGTTTTTATTCAAAAACAAATGGCTCTACCAGTTTTGGTCACATGAAATAGGGTCGCAGACCGTGACCGAAACTGGTAGAGCCATTTGTTTTTGAATAAAAACAATTTTTCTGCAACGAGGAAAAGCCCGATCTCTTCATTTCCATGATCATCTCCTCGAGTGTCAACTTCTTCAAACAAATATTTCATACCCTTCGAGTTTCAGTAGCTGGAAACATAGGACACTTGGAACAGTTTTTTGCCTTTGTGACATGATTAGCAATGTATAGGAATATATATTTTTTCTTCCAAAAAAGATTTATTTTAAATAAAACTCACCACAACCTGTCCGTCAATACGATTGTAATGGCACTTCAAGGGGTTGATTTCATCCATCAAGTCCAAACACTCGGATATGCAGGCAGAGGTGTATATCTTTAGCATTGAATTGACATCAGCACTGCATTCGTCCGATATTTTTCCAGAAAAAAACGCACCAGTCCCAAACTGATGAGAAAAAAAATATAATTTTCTATGGAACACGTACACCCAAATTTCACTTGCAGCTAGTATAGTTGACAAGAAGATCAATTGGGGAGTTACACTGGAATACATTAATAAAGCCAAACATATATATGATTCGAGTCCTAGAAATTGCGTTGGCAGATTGAGCTGCGCAGTCAAATATTGCAGGAAACGTTATTTCCATCAAATGTTTATAACAACAAGGAAGTTTATGTTTCCATGAAAAATCCGAGTATTCATGAAAAGGATGTGCATGTCCACGTTAGTTGCTGACGTGGACTAGTTGTTAAAAAAGTGTTTAAAATTATTTAAAAAATTTTATTTACTTGATTTTGACTTTGAAGAACGTCAGTTGAAATAAAATTATTTGATATTAACATTTAGAAATATAATGTCTGTATTTAGCTTTTCTTTAAGGGACTTCGTGCAAAATTTATATCAAAGAGATAAACAAATTTAACGTTTTCAGTACGTAGTGTTTACAATAATAGTAAAAATTAAACATTTTATTTCAAGCGAAATACTTTATTACAAGTCCACTGTTGGGTTCAATTTTATCTATTAAATTGAAAATGTTGAGCACATATTTCATCATTGACAATATGTTAATTGTGAATAACAAAATAATAATGCAAAATTGAATTAATTGTACTTTGTTCAATAACTAAAACATCAATTTGCTATACTAAGAGAGTTTATTTACATTAAATATGAACGAAGAGAAAATTTATAATGCTTAAAACCTAGAAAAACTGACAACCCTGCGACAACCAGAAGTATGATGAGAGCGTTCCTAAAACTTTAGCCAGATTGAGCCAGAGGTTATGCTGATGGATTGCACTCAATAATTAAAAAAAGAAAAAAAAATTATGTACAAATAAATAATTAAGATACAATCTTTTTCATCAAGAGAATATCATTGCAATGGTGGTCTGTATACAGCCCTTAGATATTCATGCACAATGGTTGCCTTTAAATTGTCACAGTCCACCTCGCGGTAAGCGTATTCTGAGGTAGACTTAGTAGTAATGTTGTATCTGAACACCAAATTTACGCAGACGTTTTTGTCGGTCAGGTTGGTGGTCGGTGGTGCCCACGGCAGTAAGTTGTTGACGAATGGCTTTGAGAATTTTTGAGAGCAAAAGTTTAGCTCATAAGTCATGTTGGGTGCATTTCTGCACGCAGGTTTATAGCCAGCGATCCACACACGCCCTGCAGTTAATTGTTTGGCTTCAAATATAAATTGGCTCATTGAGGTTTACTGTATATGCAGTGAAAAGTATATTTTTTACGTGTCAGTCCTTCCTCAAGGATACACTTGATCTCATCAATACCTTTTGGCTCCCACATGCGAACATCCGGTTTGTAAAGGACGAGAGATGGGAAGAAGAAGAAATCTGACTCATCCTTATTAAATTTAGATTTAATAATAAATATCAAAATTAAATATGAAAATATTACTCCTTCTGCAGTTAATCCTATTGTCATTCTCTTGCCACATATTAAAACGATTTTCGGCAGCGCTGTTCGTTAATTGCAAATTAAGCATAATTTATTTTACATTATCCTCTCCTTTGATTTTAATGTGCTTTCATGTATATCCTGAAGAGAACTTACAGCTTGTGCAAAATGTCCTTATGAGTTTCAACTATTTGCAAAAATATTAAAAAAAAATCTAAGTTAAATATTGTTTGATTGAACCCTGGGTGTTTCAACTTCTGGGAATCGAGGACATTTGGAGCAGTTTTTTGCCTAAATGTGATTCCAAACGGCCCATGTGTTATTTAAAATAATTATCTTCCTGTTTTAATCTACAATGAATAACGCACCACTACCTGGCCGTCATTGCGATTGAACTGGCATTTAATTAGGTTGATTTCATCCACCAAGCCCAAACACTTGGATATGCAGGTAGATGTGTATGCATGGATGAATGGCGAACTATTAGCATTACACTTTGTAACAATTGAAATTGTCCTCTCCTGCTCAGAATAAACACATATATTATGTTTACGGAAATAAAATAATACAAAATATCACTTACAGCCATGCTGATGGCAAGAGCCAGTACTAGTGTCATGCCAAAGCTGGAATTCATGATAGCATTTTAAAATTATTTGCGTGCCACTGTTTGCGAGTGCACTAGTCAGGTAGATTGAAAATAAAATTTTACATAGCGGGAATACACTCTATATGCCAAAACATGCGCAAGAGAGATGATTTTTCCACAATTATTATAAATTGTATGGCCAGACACAACGGATGCTGATATGCTGACGCAAGTAAGTTTCAAAGTATGCTGGATGATTTGAAAAATTCATTGTTCAAACCACAGTATGTGGTTCAAACGTCATTTTTTTTTAAATAAAATAAATTGAAAAGTTTCATTGAATAAAAATGAAATTTTTTTTAAACTAAAGTTTTAATTAAAATTTTCTAATTTTGTAATTTTCCCACGGCAAGAATTTTTATCATAATCACGAATAAATGAATTAAATGCTTTCAGAACAAAAGTTTTATGTATCGGACTTTGCATCGATTCCTTTGAACTTTAAAAACAAAAAGCATTGTCACGAAGTACGCATTATTTTAGATTTTTAATTGGATTGTGAGCGGCAATGTGTCATTTCAAAACTAAACATTTGATTTCATTTTACGTAAGAGAGAAAACACGAGAGAGAGACTTGCAGCATTTATACAAAACTTCCCGTGGCTCGCTCAATAATTAATTCTGGTAAAATTTATTCTTGGTGTGTTGCTGGCGGGTGATTTAGCATCTAACAAGAAGACTATACAATAAGCTTCTGCAGCGGCGGCAATATCTTAACAAGTGTCTGTGTGTTGTACCTCTTCGGGCCGGGACTTTATTGCCGCCTATATCATTTTCTGTCCAATTATTTCTAGGGCAAATTATTTATTGCCTTTCTCTCCTCCCCTATATGCAAGATCGAGAGGTGCACGCATCTGTGTGCGGCACTGCATTTTTTATTTTCATCTCCTCCCAGCCGAGAGAGAAGGAATAAATCTCCTCGCTTTTGAAAAGTGCATCTCGGAATCCGGGATAATTAGAGAGCGCGGTCTCTGAGAAAATGATCATTTGTGCACTGGAGCTGCAGCTTCAACTCTCATGCGTTAACACGTTGAGAATTCGAACGATCAGGGAGGTCCGGCGGGGCTGTCTGTAATTTGTTTTGCTGCTCCATCATGCACCGGCCGGCCGTGTGATATCATTTCTTGCTTGTCACCCATTCATCATCCTTGCACTCAAAGCACAAAAAAATCCAGCTTCGGTCCTTCCCATGCAGACTCAACGTTGGAAATATTAACTCTAGTTTATAGAAAACTTTGCTCAAAATTGAAAACTAATTATACATCATCTTTACCTTTGTAATTAATTTACTCGGTTTAATGAGAGGGTTGGCAGGTATATTTATTTTTCTCCATGCTCATACGCAGTCAGTCAGAAAAAAATAAATGTTTATTTACCCTTCTAGTTGAGAGGTACTTTTCAGCGAGTCGTAAACTAATATGTTTTATGGTTAAGGGCTTTTCAAAACTATTTTATGGACGGTCTTGTTGTTTTTGTCTGCACTTTGAAAAAGGCCGCAAGATTAATAAAAATATAAATTTGAGTTATTTACCAAAGCTGATGTGGACAAAAAAAGATCGAGCCAATCACCCATCAAGCAGCAATAATGGCCGCGCGAGAACTCCGAGCCGAATTGAATTATCACCTTTTTTGAGTCAGCACTGCCGCCCAAACAAACACACCGGTGGCAAAATTAGTCCTATTCATCTGCAAAACGCACAAAAGGCTCCTTTGTATGCTCGTAATGATTGTGTGCTGTTAAAATGACGCAACGCGCTCAATGTCAAACGTGGCGCACGCAAGAACACAAAAGAGAGGCGCGCAGAAATGACTACAAAAACACTTTTGCACAAGCGGAAAAGTGCAATCGTGTTGTTGATTTTGCACAGGAAAATACGAGTGGTGAAAAAATTTAATGCTATTCTTAGGATATTGACGTTTTAATGAAGAGTAGAAGAGATGCTTCTTTGTTAGTTGGTTGAATTAAAGTTCTCGGCGGCAATGGAATTTAAACTTATTTAACTTGAATAATTGTTTTTTTGTTGTTTATTTTTATATTATTATGTTATTTAAAAAAGAAAGCATTTCTTATAAATCGCCATTTGAAGTGATAAGAAATAAAAATATTAAATGCAGGTGGCTCAGATACGCTAAAAAATTATTTATAAACAGCCGTAAGATAATTATTTGAGCTGACGAAGAACGTATGGTTTGCTGGAGAATTTATATTGATAAATAGACTTATCGTCTAATTGCAAGGAGAGAAAAATGTGAAAAATCTCTTGTTTACTCTTCTCTCTGCTCCCAAGTCATGTTGGTCCGAAAGAGTGAATTAAAAAATACCGGCTCTTAACTTGGGATTTCTGCGTAAACAAAACCTTCAAAGTGAAGTGTCCCTTGCACCTGCAGCCAAAAATCTTCCTTAATGGCTCTCATCTCTATATAAAGAATAAAAATTTATTATAAAACCATGAAATTTCCTAGAAGTGCTCGCGGGTACACTCGAGATGGATGGAAGCTGGAAATAATGTCCAGCAGCAGCACCTTTGTCGGAAAACACATTTTTTTTTATATATAAAAAAATCGTGAACAAAAAACGACAGTGGTTTGTTGCATTCCTCCCATAAACGTTCAATTATAATAAAAGGTGTGCATGGTGTGCAGCATGCAACTCGAAAAAAGTCTGTAAAAAACACATAAGTTTATACACGGGGAAAGGCTAAACGCAACAAAGCAGTCGCGATATGTATTATACATTTTATAATACACTTTCATTATGGCTCGATCGGAGGCACGTCAAAGGTCTGCCGGCTGCGCAGAAGCGCCACGCGCAGGTGTGTACCTGCGATTTCTTCTCCACCTTGAGAAGGTACCGCCAGCCTGCTGCGGAGAGAGACCGCGCTGTTTTTATTCACGAGCTCGCCTCCGAGCAGAGTGCACTTACTGACTCAGTGTTCCTTGTGTTGTTTGTGTTTGGACAGGTGCTTCTGTCAGTGGGACTTTTTCCTTCTGTGTCCGGCACTGGGATTTCGCCACCACAACCCTGGTGAGTGCAGTTTCATTTACCTGTGAAAGACCACGGCCGACGTAAAATCAAAATGTTTTTTGTTGTTTCTCGCAACGTCTGGTGACTTCGGCACCACCGGACGTCCTCGGTTGACGGCCTGAATTTTGAAAAGAGCACGCAGTAGGCGTCACCTTTGTCATTGACGTGTGTTTAGGATGTAACCGATCAAGTTTGGGTAGAATGCAGTATTTCAATACGTTCTAAGCTAACTCAAACACTGAATTTACTAAACAAACTACAATTAATGATTTAAAACTTCAGAAAAAATACGTAAACAAAGCTTAATTTTAAAAATTATGCTTAACAAAATTAAAAAAAAAAATATAATTTTTCTTTCAATAATTGAAAATAATTCAGCATTATTTATTATTGTAATTTAAATTTATTTATTTATAAATTTTTTAGAATTTGTTTTATAAATTTATATAAAGCCTCGTCCATTATAATTTAGAAACAAATCTTTTTCACAGAAAATATATAGATTGTCGTTCACATGTTTACAAGGTATAAAAATAGAAATTTTCTTTAAATGACCCAAGGGTTAGTGATATTTAAATATTAAAAATATTTATTGTATTCTTCTTTAGTAAGGACAATAATGCTATGATTTATTTTGTGATCAGTTTTTGAAAAGAAGAACAAAATTTTCAGTATATTATAAATCTACAGATCACACATAAGGCTCACACGTGCGTGTTCTTCACTCTCATAACAATCCATCACAGTACGTGTGAATTAGTCGTAATCGTGCAGTGACATTTATATTAACGAGGCATTATGCAAACGACTTAAGAGCTGATTAAGTTTATATAGCGGATCGAGCTAGAGGCGAGTGACACCGGCAGCGTTCAAAAATGATATGCAGCCGCACTCCGAAGCCTCTCAACGGCTTTTCTCTTTCACGCTGCTTTTTTATATTTTTGGTTCATTGCACCAGCTGTTGTGTGATGCGACTACGGGCCCGACCGCCGGGCGCACGAAAAATACGCGGGCGACCAAAAAATAAATTTCCTTTTTCTCTTCGTATCGCGAGCAAGCGGGATGCACGTTAATTTAAATGGGACGGTGCATTATTTGTTTTCATTTTTAATGTGTCGCGTGAAACTCGTCTCTCTCTTTATGAATTTGTGTCACCTGGCGAGTATATCAATTTCAAAAATGTTTATATATGCACCTGTTTTCCCGACACGAAAGCGGCCGGCAGAAATTAAAATGCATGCGAGGGCAGACAAAGGCTCTTGAATGGCAATTACATGCGTGCACAGTGAATGGCGAGTGTTTTGCAAGCTTTGTGTATTTACTTTTGCCGCCAATTGGGTTGAGGTTTTTTGCATTGTGTTGCTGAGAAGTTGTGAATTAATGAGAAATTAATATGAATGCCACAGGGAAGTTGTCATTGTTTTGGAATTTTTTCTTATTTTTGTATAATTTTAATTTCAACTTGAAGGTCTAATTATTCAAAAAATATGTGTTAAATTACTATTCAAGAAAACAAACAATGATTTTTCAAGGGTCTGCCAATTTCAATAATGGATTTTTGGTATCCAAAAATTTGTCATCTTTGTAGAGATTTGCCTACTTTAAACTTTTCCCATGGAATTTTAATTCATTGAGAGGATTAAACGGCAAAATTAAAGCTTGTGAAACACGCGGAAACAATGTTTAAGCTAAAAAAAATTATACTTTGTGCTGTGATTCAATTAAGAAAAGTGACATTTTTCGCATTAACTTTTGAGCTGATTTCTTGATTAAAAAAAATCATAATAATTCTGTAGATTTTTTGAACATTTTAAATTTAGCATTGAGCTTGAAATGAAATAAAATACCCTTCACAGTTAGACTAGGAATGAAAATTTGTTATTTTATTATGCATTAATTTTCAGTCTTAATTTATGATAATTTGCGAGCTCATCATAATAAAATGATATGAGCCTTGAATCATCTCCATCAAATCTGACAAAATTTCCGCCTCTCTCATTTGCAAACGGCAGGGAAGAAGCAGCCTCGGACAGAACTTTAAAGGCTTCCTTTCTCTCCTGACAGCTCATTTTTCAGCAGCGTGCACGTCTATTGCAACACACGCTTTCAAATAAATTTAATATTGGATTCGCTGGATTTACATGCAGAAACTATTTAGCATTAAATATTACACTCCTTCATGCTGGTGGACGAAGAAAAAAAAGTAAATAACCCGTTTCAAAACGACAGCTGCTGGTGCACTAATCTCACTCGGCGCAATGAGCAAAAAGGCAACTGACTTTTCTCGGCTCTGTCCGTGCATGGCCGGCGTTGCATAAGCAATAGGCAAAAAGCGGAGAATGAGATTTATTTCCAGCTGGACGTGAGACTATTTATTTGCTAATTAAAAATGCTGCCGAGAGTGCACTTGCCGGTAACTCGAGAGTCACTCGGGAGAAAGAAAGAAAGAAAGAAAGAAAATCAGGTGCATTAACTCTCAAGCATTCCGGAGCACGAAGGTGCCAAGCCCTTTTCACACGCTGGGCTTTCATTGAACCCATTATTCATTAATTTTATTTACATTCCGATTCTAAAACGGTCCCTCCATTAATTACAACAAAATAACACCCCGGTTAAACTCGGTGATTGATGACGGCCCTGTAAAAAAATTGGTGAAAAGGTTTTGTAAAATTATGACTTGGATAAAAAAGAGTTATTCTCTCGCCTCTGTGCGCTGCTGGGCAAATTGGTGCGTTTTGTTTATTTCAAAGGAATACATGTATCGAGGGTCGGCTGCTTTAGTCGTGGCCGCGGCTGTACTTTTAATATCAAAACCCTGCTGCGACGCGCTTGGGGTGAGCACGAGCTGCTGCCGTTGATGATGAGAGGGACCACCTGTAATGACTTTGACTGCACACCTTTTGACGATATACTTTCGAGCAAGGTTATTTCGGACTCAAAGAGAAGCCGCCGCCGCTGTCTAGATGGAATTCTATATCCAAAGCATATTTACAGGCTTTTTGGCGCCTCAGGAATTCGTTTCTGCCAAAAGCCTAGCCAAGTTATTACGCGGCTTTTTGCCTTCGGATTCTTTCCATCGGCAAAAAAGAGAGCAGACGGAATGGATATTGTATTTCCTGAGAAATAATCTTAAAATTATCCTAGACTTTCCTTGCTGTATTATATGTAAAGAAAAATAAATGGATGACCAGCATTAATCAACACCTGTGACGCATAACTCGCCTGATTATCACTGGAGAGGAAAGAAAATAATGCGCGGCCTCCCTTTGGCTTCTCAACTCATTTCTATATCTAAAAAAATTGTGTGGCTGGGGGCGGATATATTTATTACACGCACGGGATGCTTTTGTCCGCCGGACGTCTTTTATAAATACACACAAAAAAGCAGAGCCAAATGACTCCGGAGCATTTTCCTGTGGGCCATCCATCCATCGTCGAATCACAAAAGAAAAAATCATCGTGTTTCCTGCCTGCTTAATTCTCATACGTGTATATGACTTAACGAGCGGACGAATTCATTCGAATAAAAATTCCACCTCTTAATTACACCCAAATTGTTCCGCCCGTCAGAAAATTTCAAATAGGCCTGTTAGAGGTGCACGTCCATATATGTTTATTTCTTACCAACCTACGACAAGGCAAACCCACCTGCGACAAAAGAACATGAACATAAATATATGGAAGGAGAGAAACGGAGTCGAGGACACCAAGGTTGGAGGAATTTAAAACAGGTGTGTGGATATGAAGCGCGGACATTTAAATTTGATACGCCGCATACATACATAAGTCGGGTCCAGTTCAAGTCAAAGGAGCACCACACGGTCGTGTCAATTCATTTCCAGACAGAGCTGGGGCAATAAAAAGGAGATAATCCTGCTAATGCATTCGGCCAGAGAATAAAGAGATTTGCTTTGGTATTTCGGGGGATGTGCTTCGTCATGAGGAATTTCAACGCTCGGATTTTTTATATGGGGAATTATACATTTTTATGCTTGATGTACAAAAGTGACCATAAAAATGTCTTCGAGAGAAATTTGATATTCTTTGAAGAATTAAACATTCCTAAAAAAGTTTCAAATATGGGAAGGCATTTTTTACTTTTACAATAATTTTCCCATACATTTTATACTGTCTTAATAGTGGAGATTTCAATCCTTGCAATTTGACATTTCTTCTCTGGTTTCAACCATTTATAGGATATAAAATTTTTAATTTTTAATAAATATCTAGAAAGAAATTCTCCCCTTTTAAAGGAACATAAGCTTTTTGAAATATTCTAAATTAATCAGGTTAAAAGGATAAAAATAACTATATGTTAACTAATTTATTTGCATTAAAAATTGATCAATAAGTCCATTTAAATTATGTCTGATCAAGCTGTAGAAAATGCAAATTATAGTTGACCAAAAAAACTATATTTTGGAACTTTTAATCCCCGTTTTTGAAAATTATTAGAGCATAAACCATTAATTGAGCTGGAATTTCACCAAATATTCACAATTCCTGGAAAGCAATTCAATTAAAAGTAGCGATTTTCCCCAAACACCGGGGGCCATAGCATAAAAACAAAAAGGTTGTTCACCTTCTACTGCTCTCGCACGGCTCTCGTATGTGAGCCAGTTCCATATGTCTTATCTCCGCTCGCAGCAATTCCAAACGAATTTTACTTTCACTGGCGCTTGATCTCTGAATGCGCGTGTGTGTGCTTTATTTTTATGCCGAACACACGATTTTCATATACATTCCAGTCCAATTTTACAACCGCATATTTGATCCGGCGCGGCCTTCGAACAAAAGTTAGGCAACGAGTGTGCGGCTAACAATAAATGCAGCCACTCAGTCAGACCAACGCACATAATATTATGTTCAATTATTTCTTAGGCACACACACACGAGGCCGAAAAGCTTTCAAAAAGCACCCGAGCGAATTTCAAGCGTGAGAAATGGAATTGCGCTCAAGCAGAGCGCGATCGAAAAATGTATAAGTGTAAATTAGCGTCTGCAGCGTTTTTAAGATTAGTCAGCGCTCCAGAAAGATTTTTACGAGCAGCTACACAGCAGCAATATCAAAAAGTCGTTACTGCAGCGCAGCTATGAGAACCGAGAGTGAGTACCGTTTCCAGAGAGCTTCACTCTCTGCGGTTGTAATGCGCGCGAGCCTTGGATTCTCCTGCGCTGGTCCATTAAGAAAGATGCCTGTGCCCTGATATTATCCTCACACTCACTCACTCGGCCTGTAATTATGCTTTGGATGCAGAAAATCAGCCAGCATGGAAAGTGGATAGAAAAGGAGAGACTAAAACTCACGCCAATTTCCGAATAAAAGCCAAAATGAAAAGCCAATTTATAATTATTACTTAGGTTAGAATCAATCGTACAAAATTTATTCTTTAAAAAAAATCAGACCATGGTTGAGTTTTTACGGCTATTGGAGTCATCTGCTGCTATAGAATAAATAAGTACTTTTATTTAATTTGTGAAATGAATTCATTACTGCTTGTTTTCTTCCTCTGTCCGTTTTTAGGCTTCCCACCCTTTGATTTTGGCTGGTTGTGTTTCACCTGAATTTGCTTGTTGTTCTTCAGGCCAGAAAAGGGGTTGATTTTATTGTTCTTTATGTTAGCTTTTTGCCTGCTTTTGTTGGCTTTTGGCTTCGCCGTCGACTTCTGTTTCCAATAATCTGAAATTTATAAAGTTTTGAGAGAATGGCATTTGTTAAGATAAAATTAAAATTATACTAATAATTATCTATTTACTTGTCTGACCTTTGAAAAAGGTTTTTCTCGGTTGTTTTAAAATTTCCATGCTTTTTTGCGGTGGCTCACTTGATGCACCACTCGGGGCAGCATTTCCTAACGCGGCAATAGGGGATGCAACAGGCACACCGTCCCTTGTTTTTACTCCATCGTCACTCTCAGGCTGATCGCCTCCGCCAGGGACTTCACCCCCAGGGCCATCAGCGATAGGGGCTTCACCCCCTGCTTCACTACCCCCGTCATCTGCAGGAAGAGGGGGTCCTTCACCTTCAGGTGTGGGAGAATCCACTGGGGCATCAGCTAATGGTGCTGGTGGATCATCACCCACTGCAGGTTCTTCCGGATAATCTTGCTAAAATTCGATAGAATGAAAATTATACTATCCGTTTTTGAAAAAATATTTTTTATTTTTATTGCAAAAAAATTATGAATTATTATTTGGTGTCTTTCCTTTCAGGTAGTAATTCAATAATTTATAGCAAAATATAAATTCTTTGTAAAATAAATTCCATTATATATTACCGTAAAGCAGAGTTGAATCAAGAAACACAAGATGTAAATAAAGGCGAGGAGCTTCATCCCCGATTGAATTTTTGCACAGAAATGACGATGCTTCGATTTGGTAACCAGAATTAATGGGCGCTGCTCAAAACGATGTCATGGCTGGAAATGCTTTTCCATTTTTCCTGCTTTTGCGTGCAAGGTTCGCGTTTCCCGTCCCTAGAAATGGCGACGTTTCAACCTCGGACATTTCCGTGACGTATTTCCTGTGAAAACGGTTGAATCTCATTTGACAGGCCTATGATGAATACTTTCCAGCGTGTTTTTCAGCTGAAATTGAAATAAAGTGACTTAAATTAAATAATTAAATATGAGATAATTAAATTTCAATATGAAGTAAACTATTTCAATCGCAATCAGTTAAAAGAACAAGTAATAAACGTCTGAGAGGAAGCGAAATCTTTACTTATACGGCGGCTTGTACAGCCTCCGTTTGTTTGCAACACGCAATTTCTGAGGAGCATGCGAATGGTAATGATCTTTTAACTTTCTTCATTGGGTTTTCACGTTATGATCGTGATCGCCTTTGTTCCCGATGGGAGCTCGCAACAATCAATCAATCTAGACGAGAACGCGTGGATTTTAGATACTTTTCAGCGTGCCGTGTGTTGCAATTCAATTTCCGATCGGCATTTTCGATAAAAACACAATTTGTTGGTCTGGTGCGCGGTCTCCATTAAGGAAATACGTACATAGTAGTTGAGCTCCAGATCAATGTATCGCCGCCGGCAAAATGGTTTTGAAATTCCGAAACGGCAGGTTGCTGCCCTCTCCATATCTCTGCATCTATAAACTATAAAAAGTGTGCGATTGTTGCTTTTAATGTTTGCGGAGACTTGAATGATTGATCTTAGGCTGCAGCTTGATGATGATGAATGTTTCGGCGAAAATTAAGAGAGCCTACGATCAATCAGAGACCGCGTTGGTTGGTTTTTGCAACTGTTGCGTTGATAGTGGCAAATTGCCGATCTTGATCAACTTGCTTTTTTTGGTTTTTTTTTGTTTTTTTTTTTTCATAATATGTAAAATTGCAGATTGAATTAATTCAATATTTCTGGAAATCGTGTTCAATAAATTAATATGTAAGATTTGTTCATAGAAAAATTAAATAAGTGGCAAAGATTGAATATTTATTTTTAAACAAAAAGTAGAAAAAAATTATGTTGGAACACTGAGCAAGTTGTCATAAGATAAATAATGTAAATTTTAAAATTTAGATATTTATGACCTAATTGGTGGTGATATGGACGTGTTTTTGCGAAAATTTTATTTTAATCGGACCAATTTTGAGAAAATTTGTTATTTCAGAAAATTCTAATAAAATAATGTAAATTTTCAAACATTCAATTCTCACAATGAATTCTAGTTTTCTTCTAACGTCTCCTTTGAAATTAAATAAATATAAACTAATGCTAATTTAGAGAAAATGACAATAAAAATAAAGCCTTTCGTTAAAATGTATAATTTGCTGACAAGTTCTGCCATAATAAGTTTTTATGTATATTTATATAAAAAATCTGATTTTTTTGCTGTATCTTGAAAAATTGGCCACAAAAATTTCTTATTAGTATCTAGAAATTTTTTAAATACAAATCAGTTAAGTCCACTTTCACAAAATGTCGAATTATTTGGGGAAACAAAAGGGTCTAATTACAAAGTCAGTCAGCAGGAAAGGCGCAATTAGAGTGCTCACAAGTGGCTCAGAGTGAGTTCCTCTCCAGCAGAGGCTCTTTCTTTATCAGATACCAGGCACGCCGCGAAAGAGACTTCCTCCTAGCTCGGATTGTGTTCGTAGAGCAAAGTATCAATAACAATCGCCGACCGACAATAATTGAGAAAGAGCTCTCGCGGTCTCCCCTGCGCTCTCTGCCTCCAGCTGTGGTGCTCACAAGTGCGTAAAGGCGTCTCTCGCAATAAATCACACAGAAAAAACAAAGCAATAAACTGTTGCTGGGTTTCATCAATCTGCACAGCATCCCAAAGCGCGTGCAGCTCGGCGCACTCGACAACAAGAAAGGAAGGAAGAGATGCTCTTGAGAAAGCAGGTCACCGATTCACATCCTCTCTCGAGCGTCTGCCGGAGAAACAAGACACTCGAGACAATTTGAATCTCCGCTGTGACCATCACGCGTGCATCTTCTTGACGAGCTTGATGCACTCGCACGCCTCTCATAATTGTTTGCTGAAAGAAACTGTGTTGCACACAGCAGCAGGAGAGTGAGAAAAGGAAAAGACTACTCGACGATGCATCAAAAGATGCAAGGATGTAGTTCTTTCTCTCGCAATTTCAAATTAATTATAATTACAAAGCTATGAAATGTGACTGCCAAGTGCGAAATATGAAATTAAAGAAAAATGGGATAAAATTTTAAAATGCCAAATTTATTAAAACTTATAATTTAAATAAAATGATGATTTTTGTCTCATGCAGAAATTAAATAAAACCATGAGTTAATAAATCCTTGTTGTGCCCCGATTCGAATCTGAACAGGATTTGACGGGCAATTAAAAGGGCACTTTCGTGTTTCCAATATTAACAAGTCAAAAGTCGGTGACGAGAAATTCATTTTTATGCGTCGATCTTGCTATTCGGCCTCGCCATAAAAGCCCTCTAATTATCAAGCGTGTGCGAGTTTTCAGCTTTATTACTCTGGTCGGGTGCCCTTAATTATCCGCGTGTGAGTGTGTCTGCCTTTCTTTGGCTGGCTAGAAAAAGCTCGATTTCGAGCCAATTAAATCAATTTCTCAGAGTGCAGCGAGCGCGTTGATTGAATTTTAATTCTACTTTCGGTGTCAATCCAGTCCAGATGGCCGAAAGCCAAAAGGTGTCTTTCAAAAAATTGACAGTCTGGAGCAAAACATTTTCGCAAGGAGAATTATATATAAATTTATTTCCATATCTCTTTTAGAACAAAAAATTGACGACACGTACGCGTCGTCTGGGTCTTGCGAAGTGTGAATCTCGTTGCCGAGTTTGCAGTCTCGGGTGTTGCAGGCAATTTGCCTCTCTGCATGCATCTGTGCACAAAATCATTCGCCCTGATCACTTCTTACACGCTTCACCTGTCTTTCGGTCGTGACAAGAAATAATGCACGAGATGATCTTGCCTGCTCACGGCTCTGTCACACCACACAAGTTGTCACCAAGTGAAAAAATTAACTCTTGCCATAACTGGCTATAATCAACCTGGCGCTCAATTATCTCGATTTTGACTGAATCCAATAAATTTAAATTTCACTTCCTTCGATTGTGAGCCAGAATTTAAATTGAGTTGCAAAATTTCAAGTATTATTTAAGAATATTAATTATTTGGAGTTTGGATGGGAATGCTTTAAGTATTATTTATAAAGCTATTACCACGTTTTACCATTTACAAATTTAATGATTATCATCATAATATAAGCAATATTATCAACAGAATAAATAATTAAAAATCTTGCAGCAATTATCAGCAGATGTTTATATTGTTGCTGTGCAGTTTGTGCTGCAATGGAGCTGGAAATAAAAATTTAAGAAAGTGCAATAATATTTCTTAAATGGATTTGGAATCAATAAATTTCAGATCTTGAAATTAAAGAATTTTAAAGAATTAAAAAATAATACTAAATTATGCATTTAATAAAATATTGTTTTTAATTGAATAAAACTTTTACATGGCACAAAATTTAATGCAGTTATTATAATGACATAAAAATAATATTTAAAAAAAACCAATTTATTCAAAGTTTTGCAAAAACAAATTATAATTATTTCTGTTTGTGCAAAATAAATGTGAACATTATTTTGTATTCTTAAATATTGTAATCTCTAAGAAAAAAGTGCATTACTTACGCTCCCTCTCTCTTTTGTCATAATTGTTGCAAAATGCAAATATTTAAAACATTGCTATAACGCTTTAATCAAGTCATTTATATAATCACATATTTATTCCTGAATTTAATTAATTATGAATCGAAAAATTACCTCAAAGATGGTTAAATTTTTTAAATCAATTTGGTTCTTTTAACTTTGAAGAAGACTTTTCTCTCTCTCTAAAATTTCCGCCCAATCAACCTGTCCGTCTAATTCAGCAAGCAACCCAATCAAATTCCGAAGCGTGCGAAAAAAAATCACTGGTCTGATTCTTCTCACTCACTCTGCCCATTGACAAAATTCCACTCGCGTTTCTCGCTAAAAGGAAAGCCTCAAGGGCGATCTGATTTTCAATCAGCACGCATGCAACCGATAATTATAGCACACACGCGGCCAAGTAACACCTGCTGCTGCTGCTTGAATAAATTTTTGCGCCGAATGTTTGGCAACAAACGCAGACCGTTGCTCCCGTTGCTGCCGGCAGATAAAAGTGGAACAATAAAATACATATAAAATTAATCACTGATTGCATTTATTATGAAGTGCTTGGCCGCACGTGGATATGTGAGGAGAGTGTCAGGTTTTTATCACTTTCTAATTTTATGCGCTGGCAGCGAGCTTATGCGAGTGGGAATCGATACGGTCGGCGAATCGACAAGAGAGAGAGAGAGAGAGAAAATATTTCCAGCAATGAGAGAGAACAAGTGTAATTTGGCCGCGCCACCCAATTGGGACAGAACGATTAGTTTATTGGGCGCTCATTTTGGCTGCCGATCGACCAGAGATAAAAACGTAAACCGCCGACGTTTTCCTCTCTCATGGGAGATGATGGTCTTTTCACCTTCGCTATTGCTCGTTAGTTGGTCGTTTGATGCGGTTTTGATAGAGACACGAAATTGGAAGCTGTTGGCAGAGAGCAAACCAAATGCTTTTCGCCTATCTTCATCTACGTTTTGTGCCAGACCAGAAATTGTTGAAAGGAAAACAAAAATTAAGGTGTGGTCGAGAGCTGTGAAATCCTTTACGTCCATTCCATAATTCAAAACCATCAGATTTTTGATAAAATAAAAGCAAATGGCCTTTCGTCTAAGTAAATGCAAAATATTTACATGTAAAAATTTGAATTTTTATTTTGGTAAGTAATGTGATTATCCTAAATTATTTCCGTGCTAGCCTTAATTTAAAAAAGCTCACAATTTAAAATTTTGAGCATAATATAAACATTATAAAGAAAATCATAGACTTTTCTGCTGCTTAAAAATGAAACATTTAAAACTTTTACAATTAATTTTTGTACTTCTG